AAAAAAAAAAAGAGGGAAGGGGAAAAAAAGGGAAATGAAAAAAATAGAAGTACAGGGAGGGGAAAAGACACTGACCTTTATGCACAGCACGATGATGAACTTGGGGATGCTAACGACAGAGAAAATGCCCTGCTGCTTGCTCGTTGGCTGGGAGTCTCATGGTCTTGTAGACTCCAGTGGTGCCCTACTCACTGTTAGTTTAGAGGGCAACGCCACCGCAGAGAATAAAAAAAATTGTAAACAAAAAATGGGCACGCACACACGCACACATACATACAATCTTCTCATTAATATTGACGACAAAACAAAAAAGATAAGAAAACATACAATAATGGGTACACGCATGCACACTCCCGCATGGACACACCCCCGTGTGTCGTATCGACCTACTTGCACACAGCCAAAGGGCAAAGAGGCAAAGAAAAAGAGGAAGGGAACAGCCGAATATAACAGAACAGGGGGCAAACAAATCCTAGATGACAAGTCCCACATGCAAACACCGCCCCCACGACACATGCCAAACGACTGGACATGACCAACCAGGATATCAAGACACCTTGCCCATCAAACACCTTGTCTGCAAAAACAAAATCAATCTATTGCGACTACCGCCATCTGTGCTGAAGGATGTCCAACAAAACATAAAAGACAATCCCAGACGACGATTCCCACATAAAAACATATATATATATATATAGCCCCTCGTTTGTTGTCCTCTTCTCTCTCTCTGCCTATGGTTTACCGGGCAGTTCTGTTTGTGATATATATATATATCGTCAAATAGAACTGCCCGGTAAACCGTAGGCAGAGAGGGAGAAGAGGACAACAAACGAGGGGCTGTGACAAACTGTTTCGTCGGAGTTTCACCGACTCATATATATATATATTGTCACAAGAATATCAGAGCGCAAATGCGAAAAAAAGGAAAAAGTAGAAAAGAAAACCAGGGAAAATTGAGTTCATTTTTTTATCTTCTTCCTTATAACTCCCCCTGTTCAGAACCTCTTGCGTACAAGGCCGCCCACATGGATGTAGGTTGAGCGGCGGCTGCCCCCACCCCCGTGGGTCATATCAACCCACTTGCACACAGCCAGAAGGCAAAGAGGCAAAGAAAAGAGGAAGGAAACAGCCCAAACAAAACAGAACAGGGGGCTGAACCAAAAAAAGAAGAGAAGACAATCACGGATGACGATTCCCAAATACAAGCACCGCCCCTCCGCTTAAAAGGCCGAACAACGGGAAACAACCAACCAGGATGCCAAAAACCCGAATGACTGGTCCCACGTGAAAGCACCGCTACGCCCATGAAATAGCCCGAACAACGGGACCAAACCAACCGGGATACAGACAAAATCAACAAATTCTACCATATCGATAGTTAAAAAAAAGAAACAAGCATTCTTGTCTGCAAAAAAATCAAAAAGAACCTGAAGAACCAGTATAAAAGACAATCCTGGATGATGATTCCCACATGCAAGCACCGCCCCGCTTTCCAAAAGGCCGAACCACGGGAACAAACAACCAGAATGCCAAAACAATAAAAAAGCCCGGATGACTGGTCCCACATGAAGCACCAAACCGAATAATGGGACAAAACCAGCCGGGATGCAGACAAGATTACCACAACAAGATTAACACCTGATTACAGGACATATAAAGCTTTCGATACTTGGAAAAACGAAAAGCCATAACAAATCTACCATATCCATAGTCAAGAAACGGAACCATACAGTAGGCCCGCAAAACGGAATACCCCAGCAACAGGGATAAAAGTAAAGGAAAAGAAACAAGGAAGGGGAAATGACAAGAACAAATGTAAAAAACTTTTTCTACCATAACATAAGCATAGCCTGCTAGTACAGGCCCGACGCTCGCCGCATCATCTGCAAAAGCAGAGAGCTAGCAACGTCGGAGTATATATTGTCACAAGAATATCAGAGCGCAAATGCAAAAAAAAGGAAAAAGGAGAAAAGAAAACCAGGGAAAATTGAGTTCATTTTTTTATCTTCTTCCTTATAACTCCCTGTTGCATACCGTATAGGTGCAGACCAGAACAAGAACCGACCTTTCAATACAAAGTATAAGATAGCACAGCGGAAGACTTAGATACTAGTGATCCGAACAATCAATGTTGTAATGCAGCCCTGAACATACATCATCATCATCGTTTCATAGTGTGAATGGGTCTGGCGCTTCACACAGGAAGACAGCGCCAGCCCAGAACATGCACAGACGAGGAGGAAGGGGATTGACGAAGAGGAGGGGGGAAGATGGGAATGTCGTCAACACCAAGTCTTCGGCACAAGCCCAAATAGTCCCTCGTCGAACTGTCTGAATCCCAAATG